AAATGACTTGCAATAAAAATCGTTCACAAGTCCACTGAGTGGAAAATTACCGTGGTCACTTACAAAGCACGATTCTCTTTGTATTAAAAAAGAAGTTCTCCTGTTTTTGTTGTCTTTATTTCCATTTTTCAAGTATCATGTGCTCCTTTCGAAATTCCCACTTGAATATGAGTAAGGGAGACGTTTAACAACTATATCGGAGATTATACGATTTTTTGAGTTAAGTCGATGCTGCAAGTACCGCCAATCCCTAAAGTTCCCAAGGTGAATCGAAATTGTTTCACCGAAAGCGCAAGCTATGGTGCATAGCATGTATATCTGACCATTAGATCAATTCAACCTCACTGCACTACGGTTTTTTTACAACTTGCTGAAAAAGATTTCGAGCAGCATGTATATCATTAAACCTCAGGACCATCACTTGTAATCGCTACGCGTAGCGCAAATCACAACCCCGGTGTGCGATTTTTGGTATATGACCAAGTTTTTTCACTATTTCGGATAGAAGTTTAGGGTCCTATGTAAAACTTCGATAGCTTGAGATTTTCTCTACACACTCGTATACTTTTGGCACAAATATAACTTGGACCTTATATACTTTTCAGTCACAGTACTGTTGGCGTTTTGGTAATCGTAACAAGTTGTACATTGAAAATAATGATATGAATTTATCACTTTTGGTATATTTTATTACAAACGATGCTTAAGAGTTATGATAGTGACTGAAAATTGGGAAACAATGCATAGCATGTCAAAAAAGAGCTCTTGCACAGTGCATGCCATGCCAGGTCATCGAAAATTCTTATCATTAATTTGGAACAGAGATACGTTCATTTCTGACAAAATCTAGTTGATTCATACGAAGAAGATGGAGACCTATAGATTATAGAAGAGTTTGTGCAAGAAGGGTCAACTGTATTAAGGAGAAATGGTTTAAAGCAGGCATTCCGTTTCATCATTGTTTCAGCAAATTCAAGTTTTGTTTACAGTCTATGTGCAGAGATCTATTCTTTCATAACAATCATAGCCTGATACTTCGACAGTGCGTTGGATTTCTGCAGTATTAAGTTCATAAAGTATGATGTTTTCATTCAGCTACAAGGTATACTAGGGAATGCATATTCTAGACAAGGCAATTATATGGAGAAAGAAAGGAAGAACGAAGGAAGAAGGAATGGATGAAATGAAGACATTCATAGATTTCTGTATGCAAATGAGTATTGAGAAACTACCGCTGCTGAAACTTTATTGGAGCTGTCATCCGTCTTTTGGAACCATTCTGTGGAGTAGACTTCATGCTCAGACAAATTTTGAAATTTTTGAAGGTTATGAAACATTTGCATTTTGTCGACAACTCCAGGTGGAAGGAAAGAATAGGCTACACAAAAGCAAAAACCTCCAGAAACTTGTTAATGTGATTTCCCAAGGTGTATATAGACCTGGGAAAAATGTTTTCATCGACAAATCAATGGTACCCTTCAAGGAAGAAATCGTACTTTGACAATACCATCTATTGAAGGGCACAGTTAATATCGCTCCACAACCGACGCCCAGGCGTTTTTTCGAAGTCACTTTACCACGTCATGGACTCTGTGCTGGTTGTTATAGGAAACTGGTAATACGCCCAAGTACTGCTTGGGCTCGAAATGAAGCTAAACGAGTAAGCCACTGAGTGCAGTCTATGTAAGCAGTAGGTTTGTCTACCTTGTTTCAATACTGCTCATTGAAGATGTGTTCTTAGGCTTTGTAGCATCAGACAAGCTATATAATTTAGTATATCACAACCTTCGAGTGTTTTCTTAAGACCACAGCTCAAATTTCAATATGCCTAGCAATCATTTCTGAGCCACGCATGTCAGTGGTCTGTCAAGGAGGGCTGACTTATAGAGCCCGATACTCGTGTTTCGATCTAACGGTCTCGTCAGTCGGGCAGTTACCCTTTCTCGTCTTTTGCCGATCCTGTGTGTGAGCTCCAGTCCCTACACTTAGAGTTAGCGACTACGAAGGTTTTACACTCTATGTCCAGCGAAAATCTTACCAAACACAGACTGTTGTACACTGCAGTAGACGAAAAAGAGTAAATGCACAACTAACGAGATCGCAAGATCGAAGCACGTGTATCGGGCTCTATAAGTCAGCCCTCCTTGACAGACCACTGACATGCGTGGCTCAGAACTGATTTCTAGGCATATATAATTTATATTTGAAAATCATGTTGTATAATAATGTAACAATGACAGACTAAAGGACTGATTATTTTAAGATTTGATGTTTGCCGTTATAAAAGGCATAATTTGAATGTGACAAGCAATTAGATATACAGTGAGGGTAAATGTTGGTCTGGCACTGATATTTGAGGCGAACTCTAATGATCAATGATTGTTGAGCAAAGTATTGCGTGTTGATTAGATATTTTGAACACATGTTGAACAAAAGATTAACAATATCAGTGAAAAATATGAAAAATTTCGGTGAGGAATGCGCAGCTTCTTCAAAGCAGTATTTCAAAAATTGGTGATTGTGGGTTTTATAAACGCTTATTCTGTTTGTGTACTAAAGATTACATCACAAAGGATTCTTGAAATAATTATAAACTGCAGAAAATGTGTTTGAGCTTTACACCAATACCTAACGTTGAAAAATATGAAATATGAAACGAAGATGCGATATCTTCCTTTTACTGGAAGGTGTAACTTTTCAATACACTCGGGTGTTCTTTATGCAAAAGAAAACTCTTATAGAAGGCCTTTAGCAGTATATCACTATTTTTGATCATCAATTGTCTCCAGCTTGCTAATTTCACTCCGCAGTTACCAATACATCTACAGCGAACTCAAGAGATGGGCCGCTCATTCAGTGCGTTAAACGCTATCATTATTCTCCGGCTACGGCGCACCAAAAAATTGGTTCAGAAAAATGCAAACTTTTTCTCAGAATCTATACATCTTGATCTATCGAATGTTTGTTGAAACTCTATTGTAGGACCAAGCATAAACGACAGTGAAGCCAAGCAAAGCACTCCGGAAGCGAGCCAAAGCACTTGTTCATCGTTTTTACAGATAATTTAGAACCTACACTTGCTATTTAAACTAAAAGTTAAGTTTATATTCAAAATCATCTCTTTTCAAGCTATCGATTAATTACCAAAACTTTGGTGAAAATTCTTAGTTGTGTGGAAAGACTATGCAAGCACGAGTGTGAATCACACTGCACACTATAAAGAATGAAACGCAATATTCTCATTGTTGCTGCAACTAGTCGGGAAAGCGCTTCTAGAAATTAAGAATATTATCAAAACCGCAATTTTCTCAGCTATCAATTGATTACTTAAGGTTCAACGAAAAATTTATGGTCGCCGAGAAAACGACGAAAATGTGCGTGTACCATGAGTGGTACACGTGGTACTGAAATGGTCAGAGCCGAGTGAAAGCCACTTGCTATGACGCATGATTTATGGGAAATTTTATTGAATGCGCTTGCTCACATCGTAGATTTTGGTTTCTGTAATAGTTGCAGAGTCCTTATAGTTGCATTGTTTCTGTAGGTAGATTCATGAAAATTGCGTGCAATCATTTCAATTAGTAGTTGACAATAAAGTTCCTAGGCGTAAATAATCCGTTAGAGGATATATGTAATAATAGAATAACTGCTCAATCTGGCCAAAGGTATTATGGATTTCTATTAATTTTTTTTACTCAAAGAAAATGCTCTGCTTTCAAAATAAAAAGCATGTTTACAGAAATGACATCTGTAATCCGATGTCAAAGGAGTAAAATCTTGTTTTTAAGGAAAAACTGTGACATCTTTCATAATTGCGCATTCTCAGGTGCTTGCACGTATAAATTCCTACCTAATCCCCGTTTTTATATGCCCTGGTGTCGAAGAACGTTGAACAACGCATAGAGTTTTTTTCTATCACAGTCACAAATTTTCACGTTGTTATAATGTGAAATTCCAGTGGGGGCACCGAAGTATCAATCAACTCAATATCTTGCTGCCTGACTAGTATCCTACAATTAATGTATTGTTTCGTAATGGGATGAACAACGCTTTTTCTTAAAAAATTCAGCAGTGCTTCGACAACACAAATCGCGGATAAATTTAAGTCAAAAATCTCAAAAATATGCTTAGTTTTTGGAGGAGACCTCTTAGTCCGTCGTTAAAGCCAAAAGAACATTAAGCTTTACACTAAGCGCGCATCGGACGCCACATGTAAATTGCGCTGCGCAACCGACACGGTCCCGAATGCGAAACTTAATGATCATTTAGCTGTAACAACACATTAAAACGTCCATGAGATGATCATGAGGGTTACAGATCAATATAATTATATGGAGAAGAGAGTTGTAATGAAACGCAATCTTGGAGACCCGGAAAAGATTTAGCCACCTTTTCAGTCAGCTTTAGTTAATAGTTCCTATGCGTATGCCATTGTATTACAACTACACCTACAAAACTGCTCTTAACGGCTCATCTACCTTTAACCTCAGGCATGAGTTAAGCAGCGTTTCACCTAATGGTTTGTGCTGTCACTCCTCCAAAGAGGTCCTTAGTCCTCATTTTCTCTTTCTGCGTTATGAGGCATAGAATCCAGTAGAGGCAAACTGTTAGCATACCCAATATTGTAGGGTGCTGTGCAAAAACGTTTGCGTCAGCCGGAACGAGCCCAGATCTGACTCGTTCTGTAGAAAGAGTGCTGTGCGAAAGGAGCGACGGTGGTGCAACGGTTAGCATAGGCTCCAGGAAAAAATGAGATCTGAGTTCAAGTCCCGGCTAAGCCCAAACGTTTTTGCACAGCACTCTACAATATTGGGTATATCGAAACATCATAACATCGCAAGTGGCGGTCAAATGGAAATGATTTCTCATTGATCATTGGTACTCAATATCTGTCAGCATAAGTGGGTTAAAAGTTAATAGTGACGGCCCCGCCAGACCGTAGATGGTTGGCTGCTGACAGATAACGCGTTGTAGCGTAGAAAGAGTGCTGTCTGAAAGGAGCGTTGGTAGCGCAACGATTAGCATACGCTCTCGGGAAGAGTGAGATCTGGGTTTGAATTCCGGTTAACGCAAACGTTTATGCAGATCACTCCACATTGTTGGGTATATTGAAACATCATAACACCGCAAGTTAATGTGAAATGAAAATAATTTTTAGTTAATTGTTAGCATTGGTGGTGTCGTGATCAAATGCCTCTTAAATGGGTGAAACACGTGTTGAATTCCAGATTACGGTTAGAAGTTTTGCACATGACTCCGCAATCTTAGATATACAATTATCACATCATAGACTGCTATGAAAGGGACAGAGAAATTTTCTTGTTGAATTATCTACTTATATTATGGATAATATCTTCCATGGGTTGAAACCCAATATGAAATTGCCGCAAACTAGTAGCATAATTCAAATGTGTATGAAATCGACAGTGAACGGTTTTTCAAAACACTGATTACCGAGAGGAAAGATTTTGAGGATTTATGGATGCTTTATGTTGAATCACCTAGTCAGGTCAGACTAAATGAATGCGGCGAGATTGGCTCAAGTGCGTAGTTAGACAAACATACACACTGCCGCCGACGACAGGAAGGGTTGTGCTGCATATGAAATTTTCTCGGTATACCTCATGTCTACCCAACTCATACGAAAACAACAATCTATCATATCAACTATAAGTGAAGAAAATCAAATATTTCATCGAACGTTCCATGCCACGATAATGAACGTTGTCGACTCTTTAGAAGTTGCCTGTATTTTCGCTAGCTAGACAGCTTGAAAATCAATAATTGTGAATAGTTGAATAGAAATTCGTGTTCAAATACTTTAGAAAATCTTTCGTTTCGAGAGTTTTCTTAAGACCACAGTTTCAAATTTCGATATGTCAGATTATCATTTTTTGAGCCACTAATGTCATATGGTCTGTTAAAACGGGCTGCCTCATAGAGTCCGATACACCATACATCTAAGTTAGCCTATTTTATCAGACCACATGACATACATGGCTCAAGAAATGATTATCTGGCATAGTGAAATTTGGACTGTGGTCTTAAGAAAACACTCGAAACGAAAGATATGCTATATTGATTATACTAGTTAAAGTCATTCGAGTGTACAACACTATGTGTTCACTGATAATTTTACTAGGCATAGAGTGTAAAATTTTCGTCGTAGCTAACTCTTAGTGTGGGGACTGGAACACCCACACAGGATTGGCAAAAGACCAAACTGTAACTGCCAGACTGACGAGACAGCAAGGTCGAGACACGTGTGTCGTGCCCTATAAGTCACTCCATTTTAGCAGACCGCATGACATACGTGGCTCAAAAAAATGATTATCTGGCTTACTTTGGAACGTGTTATGAAGGTAATGGCCACATTCAGATCATTCTCTATCAACCTCAAAGAGTGGTTTACTTATGATGAAATAAGGGACTTTGCACCTTGTCGGCGAAAATCTCTGTATTGCAATAGCCTTTACCCAGTTGGCAAAACTCAGTGTGGGGCTGAGATATATTTATTTCACAACACAACTCTCTGCGAATACAACACGCACAGATACAAATGGCCACTGTGAGATCTCAACCAAATTCATCTTTCTGTCCCGTCTGGTTCTCTTATCATCTATATAACGACAGCGTCGGCTCTACCCCCTCATGATTATCCTCATTGTTTGTTGTTCTGAATCAATTCAAAGTGACGTATTGTTGAGATAATGTTGCCTTCAGTCATCTCTATATCTCTGTGGCCGAGAGTTTGAACTTTGCGAGACCTATTACGTAAAATTCAAATTCCAGCTATGAAGTACGAAAAAGATCTAATAATGAAAGGATCTATCGAAATTTGAGCGTGGTCCTACTAAAGCTCCCGAAATAAAGGTATTCTTGTGATTTTGTAAGCGCAAAGAACACATTTCAGCTGAATTCGTGCCAAAATACTTGTAGCAGTTAATTTCTCGGTGAGGTTGAAGTTGAGCAGCAATTGCAGAAAATGAATAAATGAGTACGACATGGTTTTGTAAAAAAAGACATGTGCCCAATGGCACCTGCAGAATTTTAACCATAATGCATGGCGAAACAAAGATGAAGTTTAAGGATTTTAAAGAAACTCTTAAGATCGAAAAAATTTCCTCAAAGCGACATCGAAGCAGGCTGTTGACTATAGTATTCGGTAAAATCAAGCGTTTTGGTCAAATACATTAATGAATACAAACCCTATCCATAACAAGGTTAAACTCACCGAATGTTGCGATGGTTCAGTTGATTAAGGCAGTTGTCGATGGATTAGCTTTTCACTGGGAGAATGCACGCCTGCCATGCTGATCCGAAATCATTTTCTAGTTGATGCACTAGAATTGTTGCGACAGTTCAGTGGACTGTAAGAGTTGTTGACAGCGTAGTTCGCCAGGGTGGCTTTAAAGGGTTAGCTTGGACAGTCAAACATCTATATGCAAATTAAGATTATCAGAGCAACGACAAGCAAGAACGATAATGAGAAAGGATATCTGCAAGTAATGTGTATGTAATGCTATGAGTAGCTTTTATGAGGATACGGCCAAAAGTGAACTATGCTAATGAGTGAACTACAGTGTACAGTGGGCAACGCTGGTGAGTGAGCTGCAGTGGAGAAAGTGAGCTACGGTGAAAGAATTCGTCACACTGTGCGAGGTGACGTATTGAGGACTTTGTGGTTCCTTGAAGCTCGTCTCGGAGAACTTGGCGTCATAGTTGGCCTCGATGACCGTGGCGGCCTCGTTTCAGATGAGCATTGGATCCCGATTGGCCTGGTACTGTACAAGTTAGGTTATACTTTGTAGAGGCGAGATCACGTGCTCTCTGTGGATAAAGTACTGAACACACGCTCGTTCGCCACTGCCAATCACCTGCCACCTGCGTCACGTTGATCGTCGAGTGACTCGAACGGGTACCAGCAACTGTTCCATTTTTCCCTATCGCGTGCAAGAGTAGCCCAGTGGGTCCTCCTCGCTAATGGGATTCGCTGAGCATTATACCTTTCTTCTATCGCTCTCGTGAAGAAATCTGACTAACGGGTCAGTGGTCTTCCTTTAGAGCGCTTGACGTCCCAAGAAATCCAGTCGGTAACGGCTCTCGTCTATCGGTTGTCGTTGAAGCACATCACGTGTCCGGCCCACCTTATTTTCGATATCCTGGCGTGTAGAACGGCGTCTCTGAATTCGATCGTTGACGTAGGTCGGAACTTCGATTCTTCCTCTCATTGCGAGATACGGGATACTCCTAGCATCGACCTTTCGACTGAGCGTTCGATCACGCCAAGTAATCTTTCATCCTGTTTACGTAGCGACCACGTTTCTGCTGTTTACGTTAGGGCAGGGATAATTGCGAGTCGAAAAGGTGGGCACGGAGTCGGATGTTCTTTGTAATCTTCACTACATCTTCGATGCTCTCAAACGTTCCCCAAGCCGCTCGTTTCCTCCTGCTTAACTCTGGAGCTAGGTCGCTCATCATGTTGATTTCACGACCTAGATAGACGTAAGTGGAGCATTCGGAGATTGTCGTTCCATTGAGCGTGAATGGGCCATTCAAAACCCATCCGTTCCTCATGAACATCGTTTTCGTTAGATTTAGTTAAAGACCAATCTTTCCACAGGCGTTATCGAAATCGGTCAACACTGCCAATAGACTGGTAATAAATGGTCATTTCGTAGGTTTTATCACTAGAGGAACGAACAGTAAATTTACAGAGCAGAAGTAAATGGAATTACTTTATATCACTATTCAAAGTATGCGTCATCGGTCTGAGCATATTTCGGCCACCTCTCAGGCAATAAATCAATACCGTGCTTAGAGAAGTCGACATATTTAGATTTGAAAAAAGTTGTCATTCGTCGACGCAAATAACTGATGTCTCGAAACTTCTTCTAGCACACGAAGTGCTCCAGCGACCAGAGGAGGTAGAGTAATTAGACGCTGTCAGTGCCAGTGAATTTCAGAAAACATTGTTAGAGAGCACACCGAGTGGTACGTAAATTTTTTGAACTGGTTATAGTTTCGGCCCACGTTTGTGCTGCATAACAGAGCATTGGGATGACAGTAAGCCCAAGAGGTAAGCACAGACTCCAAGGTTTGCTACTTAATTGAAGGCTTCCTCAAAAGTCTCAAGAGGCTCCATGCTGCTCTCCTTCTCCTATTCGATCCCACATAACTGTGTGAAAATGAACTCTCCCGAATCAGTATTTGTTTAAAGTACTAAGAAACGCCAGATGATTTAGAGTTTGATAAATTAGAATGCGACTCGCCAAGCTCGGATTGAACCGACAAAGGTAGCACTCGTTTGAAAATTTCGATCCTTTTCGTTAAGAGAAAATATCAGCTAAAAAATCACTTCTTTGCGTTATGTCATTAACTCTAGCATAGGTTATATTCTGCTATCCGGGAAGAATTCAAGAAATGGCAACTTTCGCTGGACAAGCATTTTTATAAAAGGTGATAGTAATTATTGGAAAGCTTAAATTTTTGCTTTTGAAACACGTGCCCTCTCTTGATGAACAATTTTTGGTAGCGTTCTAGCATTGAAACAAAATTATGTTTTACAGCAGCCACTTGCTTTCAGTATAACATAGCTAAAAAGCAAAAAGCTTATGAACGTGAAGAAAAAGTTTTGTATTATCACTGTTATTTGTTTTATCTGGACCTTCTTCCAAATCGAAGAAAAAGCCCCAAATTAAGTATCAAAAATTGCACACCACATGTGAGAGTCGCCAACGCAATCGATGGTTTGCAGTATTTAACCCAGAATCAGCTCCCCTTTCCCTCCTGCAGCACACACATTAGCACACAATTTTGGTTCTCTTAACTTACGATCGATTCTTCTGCTTCGCTGTTAGTTGCCAAACTAGAGCACGGAGAACTGCATGTTGATTAGGTAAAATCCATGGCTCCCTGCGTATGAGATTTTTAAGACTTTGAATTTGAGTTTTAACCTTAAAACGGAAACATGTCTCACCACATGTCGCTCATTGAGTTGATGCGACAATTCTCTCCAGGAATTTCATCAAGATCGCTTTCACAATCGCTGAGTTGGAACTCAGTAATCCTC